CATGCATGTTTTCACTATAGCAAGGATTGTCTGAAGACAATCAAAGGGAAGGAAATAAAAAAATTGGACCATGGGATATAAATGATATTATGTTGATCTTTATTTTTTATTCCAATGATCTTATTAATGCTTGTTTCCACTTTACCAAGGACTGTTTGTCTTCATCTCATGTACAACCTTTCGCTACTCAATCATCAGGCCATGAAAGAACTTGGCATCCAATGGAAGAATTTGAAACAAGACGAGAAATAAAAATATTTAGAGATGGCCAAGTCGTCAAAAGAAGAGTGTTATAGTCGTAAAGAGAACTCTAACAAAAAAGAAAAGGTTCGAAACCATAATATTAAATGGTTTATCTTTTTTTTTTCTTATACAACTGTTTGAAATTATAGCTCGGAACAAGATGTTCTCCAAGAATGATCGTGAAACTAATACCAAGGTTAAGTGAAGCACAAAAAAAGGCCATTGAAGATATTGGATTTGGAGGCTTGTTAGGGCTCAAATGTAAAGTACTGAGAAGAGATTTGTGTGCTTGGTTGGTTGAGCAGTTTGACCCGATATCATGTGTTTTGAACATTCACGGAAAATCCCTTAAGTTGTCTCCCATGGATGTGGAAAATATATTGGGATTGAGATATGGAGGGATAGACGTGGAAACGAGTGGCCCAGCCGAAAAAATAAATGGATTGTATAAGTCAATGTTCACTGGAATGAAAGATATTTCTTTGAAATATTTGAACGAAAAATTACAGGAAATGAAAGAAGATTCACACGATTTTCTCCGTGTCTTTGTGTTATTTTCACTTGGATGTCTACTGTGCCCTTCAACAAAGAACTCCATTAATAATTCATTCCTCCATTCTGTGGTAGAAGTTGGTTATTTGAGAGAGAAGAACTGGGTGAAGTTGGTATTTGATGCCCTCCTAGAGGGAGAGTAACGATATAAGACAATGAACAAAATAACATTAGTGGTTGTTTACTTATTTTGAAGGTAATGAAATGATTAATTGGCATATTAACAAATTTATATATTGTGATTGCAATTGTTTTTGTAATTGAGAATAGTTGTTTGTTGTAGGTTTTTTATCTGCAACATGTCACTCGTCAAGGGGTTTCCCTTGTGCCAATTAAAAAGTGGGGTGATGTGGAAATCAAAGAGGGTGTGGCACTCTTTAAAAAATTGAAAAGTAGGAAACATGTAGAGATATCATATTACAACACTTAAATGATATGTATGTATTTCAATTTGAATATAAATTTTGTATGATGAAAATTGTTATTTTAGGTTCCAATTGTTGGAATACATTCTATCACTGCATGCCCACTTGAACAAAACATAGTAGCACCTTTTGTAGGCGCACCTGAACCAAACATAGTGCCACGTCATGTAGGCGTACCTGAACCAAACATAGTGTCACCTGGTGCTTAGACCGAAGAAAAATCAAATGTATGTGTTACAGATGTTATATATGAAACAATATTTATAATTTTGTGTTGAAGAATATAATTTTATATTATTTTCAGTCATTGGAGCGAAGATTTTCTATCATGGAAAAGTCACTAGAGAAAATTATGGCGGAGCAAGAAAATTTATCTACCAAAGTCGCCTCAATGGCATGTATGATGCAGAAAATCATGGATGCCATGACAGAACTTAAACGTCCCAACTGCCAACATAAATTTGAGAATAAAGGAACAATTGCAGCAGGGGGATTATTGGATGTCGAGAAGGAGAGTGTGACAGCAAGTAAGGCTAACAAAATTACACAAGACTTGCAGGATCACCACACCCTGAGTGTAAATGCAAGTAAGGTTAACAAAATTACACAAGGCTTGCAAAATCACCACACCCCCACGGTGGTCATCCATGAGGTTTGTATTCTATATTTAACATAACACAACTGTCCAATTATTATTAACTCTTTGTATTTTATAACTAGACTTTAGATTCTCTGTATTTTATAAGCAGATTTCAGACTCTAGTACTGCATGGAACGCATCATTAGGTGTGGAGTATCCACCAATCGACGAAATAACTGCTAATGACAAATTGTTTGTCTTCAATTACATATTTGACACACCTCTTGACATGAGGTATCTACTATATTTTGTTTCCTGAACATTCTATTATTGGATCATTATAAAATACGAATCTAATTCTTTAATGATACAGTGAGGTATTGGTGAGCATTGAAACTTGTTATGCGTCGAGAGGAGCAATGATTGAAGCCTTAAAACCAAAAAAATGACTACTAGATGTTGTGAGTTAGATAGACATTTATTTAGTATAATTTTAATATTGACTAATATGAAAATGCTGTGGCTAACATGATACTGTTGTAAGTTTGATTTTGTATTGTTTGACCTCTTGAAGATATTAAATTTGGCACCATATCTGATTCCTGAGTCCGTCAAGATTAATCCATTTACTAAAAAGTCACGGTGGTACCTACCAACATAGTTTTCGGTAATGATCCATTTCACATTTATAAATTTAAAAATATTTTAAACTCTCAATGTCTAATCATAGTTCTCTCCAATACCCAGCAAAAAGCACTCGGTGGAACATACAAAGACAAAACGTTTGAGTTGCTTGAATTCCAAATGTACTTTATTTCACAGTTCAAGGACTGTGAAAAGGTATGTAGTTGCTCCATTCTTTGAATGATTTTTTGCTCTATTTATGATGGATCGTTTCTACAATAATATATGCATATATATAATCGTCAATCTATTTTATGTATAAATGTAGATATATATACCCATCAACGACAACAACATACATTGGTATCTATGCTTGGTTGATGTAGTGGAGCAACAAGTTCTGCTACTCGATTCACTGTCAATGTGGCCCAATGAGCATCGATACATTGCCATCAAGAATGTGGTTAAAGAACTAGACAGAGTCCTTGAACTTGTCGGACCGAACCATAGGCCAGCATTGATCCACTGGCCCATAACTCAAGTGCAGTGGGCTCCTCGGCAGCCTAATAGTCATGATTGTGAAATTTTTGTTATCAAGATGATGAGTGCTCCAATTTTGGGTCCATCATTCAGGATTACGGTATAATACGTTTTCTTTTTACTGAACTAAATTTGTTTTAACATTTTAATTTGTGAACTCACTTCATATACTGTTGTCTTTAGGAGCAATCAAATCAAATGCGCATGGACTTAGCAATTAATCTAGTTACCTATGTATACAATGAACCAAGAGACATGATTATAACGAAGGCACGACAGCGTTACAAGGATGGAAGTCAGAAAATGATAAACCTGTGGAGATATTAGTTTGGATTGGGAAAATCCAAAAGTTACACTGAGGATATTAGTGTAGTGGGCTCCTCGGGAGCCAAATAGTCATGATTGTGGAAATTTTTGTTATGAAGATGATGAGTGCTCCAATTTTGGGTCATCATTCAGGATTACGGTATGATACATATTCTTTTTACTAAACTACATGGAAAATTCCAAAATTTACACCGACTTTTTTTGTATATAGTGTGGACTGGGATACAGTTTTAGGTTCCCAAAGAGGAAGGTTTGCCCTTTCCCAACTATATGAAATATAGTAGAGGTTTTGTAGTCTATTTTATATAGTCTTGGCTAATAATATATTTTGTGGAACAAAATACATTTTTTGGAACCAAACAATTATAATTTTTTATGGTGCATTTTGTCTCAAATTTTGGATGCTTTACAAGGTCTGGATTTACTGCTGGGTGCTCTTTTGATTTTGCTGGTGCGGGTTCTTTGCCAAGCAGAACGATGGTCTTTAAGGATCAGAGGAGGTTGACAGTTTTGAAAGTGTCATTTTGTAGGCACTGTTGTGGCTGGGTTGATAGCAGGAGGGGTGGGTTCAATGTTTTCAAGTGTCTGGGCTCCTTGGTGGTAATGTAAATTCCTTCACAGCATCTTGAAGGATTAAAGCCAAAAAAGTGTAAAATTGTATTTTTGATGCTTGTAAATCTTTGATTATTTCTTTCTTCTTAAAAAAAGAATTAGAATTGTGCAGGCCATTTTGTGTTGGATAAACATAAACTAGTTCATAATCGTGCGACAAAGTGGTATATAATATGAGTGAGTATAATACCTATTATCAATCCTACAATGCACCATACAAATTCATTCGCTTTGCAGTTGACATGTGCCCTGTTACCTAGTTCTTCATGTGGCATCTGTCCTCCGGCTTTGTGATGATTATCATACTTAGAAGCAATATAGTTGGAAAATGCCACTTCTGCATCCTCCCAAGAGGCAAAACTCCTGTACAATACCCCAATATACCCTACAACATGTTGATGGCATTCCTCCCATGATGGGTAAATGCCAACAACCGTACCCTTAAAAACAACATACCATTTATGTTGTTTGGTCATTTCCTGGTTCAAAAACAAAGTAAAAAAGTTGAAGATCTTGAAATGAGAGTATAAAAGGGAGGAGATGTAGAAGTAGAAGGGAAGGGACGAAGATGTACCCAGAGGAGAGTAGAAAAAAATGTAGATCCACTGGTCAAGGCATACAAATTTAAGTCTCCTTATATAATGGTTTAAATGGATAATAAGGGCATTTATGTACTTATGCCATAACATGCACTACCATTGTACTCAAAATAGTATTCATGTATGCAAAATATCTACTATATTTGTCTATTTCTACCAACCAACACTCAATCAACAACCATTCTCACCAACCAGTCTATGCACTCCAATCTAATATCCTCAACATTTTAATTAAAAAATATTTTATACTCCCAGCCACTTGTGAGGTTGAAACAACTGCTGACCAGGAACAAGCCCTCCTTCCACTGTAACCAAATTCAACCAGAAAGGTGGTCATGGCGGATGCATGAGTCAATTTCAGCCAGTGATGATGCATGGCTAATGAATTCCTCCACTCTCTTATAGAATAGTTTGCAATCAATAAAGAGCTGGCCCAGAGCAACAAAAGTTGTTTTTGCTTCACGGACCACAAACTCGTGAACACTAAAATGCATTGATTCATGTAGAGTAACAAGCTTGTCTTGAAGGATTAAAGCCAACTCCCCAAAGGCCTCTGAAACTGAAACTTCCATAAGAACCTTCAAATTTTGATGGCTCCCACGGAACAACACTTAATGAATGATCATCTTGACCAATAAGGAGTGGTGAAGAATTGATGCTTTCAGCAGCCAAAGGACTCTCATGTTGGTGGGGTGAGGCCTCAAGTTCAAACAAATCAACACTTTTACTGTCAGAAATAGGATCAAACGGAGGAAAAACACCTGCTTAAAAAGATATCAATATACACTGATGAATAAGGAATGCTACCAATGTTGATCCCACCGGTGTGAACAATGTGAGAAAAATACAATGAGTGGCCACTAAAACTTACAGCAAAATGGGTTAGGTGCAAGAATTGCCACGCCAGACTTGATGACATCCTAGTACACTAGTGAAGAATCAATACAAACCTTCTAGCGGAGTAGCTCCTACAATAGAAATATGCCTCCTATACTCTACCTGTCTGTGGTGTATCTCTTCCTTTGATGACAAAACAGAAGCTCAAGACTCTTCCATCGTCAACAGATCTATTGCCTTTGACTTTGTCATGCTCAGGTCATCAAAATCATAAATAGAACCACCAATTTTGGGGGATCCATGTTGTAACCTTTTACAATGTGTTCGAAGAAGATAATTGACGTGTCCTCTTGTCCCTTGAACTCTACCATCATTGCTTTGTCCCTCTTTGATGATCCAGAATTTTCCCTATGATGTTGGGGATTACAACTACCGTCCACCACTGCCGCCTGAACTTGCATCCTCTCAAGCAATATGTGCATTCTCTCACGGATGTGCTTACACTCATCCAACAACTCCTTTTCTTCTTCTACGCCAAAAAAAACCAGCTAAAAAGACTAAAAATCCGTCAACAACAGTGGAAGGAAGAGAAGTAGCAGTCTCACAAGTGAAACTATATCCTGACCTTAATTTGCGAGTTGTGCTGTCCACTTCTACTTAGGAGTGGATGATGCAGAACATGGCCTAGTGTAATCATGGTTTCACCAGGAAAAAATCAACTAATATCAATGTAAAAAAGTAGTAACATAACTCAAAAAAAAGTAGTAACATAATCCAATTAACCTATACAAACAAAAAAAGTTAGAATCAGCAAAAAATTTCAAATCCAACCTAAAAAAGTTAGACCCCACCCAAAAATTGGAATCCAACCTCAAAAATTTAGAACCAACAATCTAGCAACCACAAAAAAACTCTTAACCATTTGACGCCCTAAAAACTATCATGTCCCTGTGGATGTTGTCAACATGTGTGACAAGACTGAAGGTTCCTATAATAGCAAGAAAATATTGCATTATCTAGTTGAAAACCTCATTCTGTACTGGTTGTAAAGGAACATTATATGACATACTATAAAATTCAGCAAAGTATAATACCCTTATACGGATTTTTTGACCAAAATACGGTGCTCTGATCAACTCTATTACGTACATTCCGCAATCAAATCCATTGCTTTGAACCGGCACCCATCTTGGTGTACTGATAGGCCATTTGTCTATGTGTTCAAAATCATCCGCTACCTCAGCAAGTAGACGATGTAGTACCTTCACCTGTTCATGTTTTGAATAAATTTAGATGAAGCCTATTGTGGGAACGCCTTTCACAAAATTTACGTGGTATGCATAAAATTACTGTTTTAAAAGACTGGCAGAGTCGGATATGTTTCCTACGAGGATCACGCAAGGTATCAAGAATCATCACCGCCTTATTATTCACATCTACCACCTTTAAATACCAATGACTGTTGTCATCATTAATAGGTATATATATCTACATTAGAACACAAAGGTAAACCATGAATAAACTAAGACATAAATATCCAACAAGATGAATAGGACAGATGAGAACAGTCTAAAGAAGGGTGTCAAACCTTATCGCATTTGATAATGTCACAAATTAAATAGGCATAGTCTTCTCGAAATTTCTCATCCAAACAACCATTCTCTATCCACTATAATTGAATTGCTTGTTGCTACCAACAATAATCATAAATTAGAATCGTGTCGTTGATATAGATAGTTATTGAGTACACAACGTATGTGTAGAAATACATTACCGAGAATCAAGTAGGCAAGTACCATCTCTCCTTTTTTATGGTGGCGTCTATCTTTTCATCGGTCGACATAATACAAGGCACCGCACTTATTACCTATTAAGTGGAGAAGAAGTGACAAGTTAGTGTTATTTTGGGACAGATTTGCATTCTTCATAATAGTTGAATACAAAAATATAGTTATAGGCAACGCACTTACAGAATCACGCACCCAATTGGGTACAAGTAATGATTGCAAATCTACACGACTCAAAAAATGCTAGGATTCATCAAAAGAAACAAGAATTTCCCTGCTTATTACAATCACGCCATACATTAATGAATCTTGTACCAATAATGCATACATATTGTGATAAGCAGGGAAGTTCTCGGATTACTTACGCATCCTTCAATGAAGTGTCCACTATGTATGTCCATATATTTCTCTTATCTGAATCTTGGAGGTTCTGTATATGAGGGTACCCACCTTCAGGTGCAGGAGGGTAATCATCATCATCAGCTGTACTGACTTTATCCTGTCAATTTTAGTCAATGTTATGAGTACAACATTCCAAGACTTATCAATTAAAAAAAAAAGATGCAAAAAATAATACACCAAACAACAACAAAATTTTACAAGCTTTATCGCCTCGCCTTTATCACCACTATCAACTTGTGCTTTAGATTTGTTGCAAAAGTCGTTCAATTTTTCGGACAACTCTTGTATCCAATTCTTCATTGCGGCAAGCTCATTATACACCTTTATTGAATCCTCATGCATGGATTTCTTGGTGGTGGCCTGATCCACCTCTAATCTTAAGAGCCTTGCTTCAAAATCCTAAGTAAATAAAAAATTTCCGTTTAAACAAAGAAACAACATTTGAAATCCAAACATTAGCGGCAGGTGTGGAACAATACCTGTTTATGTAACTGCATTGGAACTCCCGCTTCTGAGTGGATGCCTTCCTTGATAACTTCCTTGACAACTGGAGGGTCACGGCACACCGCATCAACTACATGAACTAAGAACTTAACCTAATTCAATAATGCAAAATATATTGTGTTATTAGTAGCATATAATTCTGAGATACCTTGAATAAACGATACAAAAAGGATTATATCACACCGATTTACCTTGTCACTTTTGTAGCCTCCTAACTTGTTTAGAAGATGTAGGCGCTTACTTATTTCATTGTCCCCCCATGATACAATGCGTGAGCATGGTCGAGAAACCAATGGCACCACCGTCTCTATTTTTGGGGTGAAACACTCAAAGTACCAAATCTATATGACACGAATGTAATATGATTAATAAAAATCAAAGTGCATAGAAGCCTTCCAATCAACATTAATCAAATAAAAAAATGTTACCATGAGAACAAGAATGCAACCACTGACACTTTGCCATTTTGTCGTCTTGTAATCTCGTACCCCCTTAATGATAGCATCAAACACATACTTGGCCCAATTCCTACCCCTCAAAGATGAGACGTCCAATACCATGTGCAATAGTGTGTCATTCACTGTGCTCTTCATTGTGGGGCATAGGAAATGCACAACAACAAATAGAACAAAGTAACACCAAAATTCTTCGGAATCCTATTTCAATTTCAACAATTTGTATTTTATGTCACGGAACGACAACTCCTTTCTGTTTTCAAATATTGATTGTTGAAGATCCGTAATTAATAATGGGGAGTCGTTCGTCTCCAATTCATCCCCACCAAACTTTAACCCCAATATCCATTCAACATCCACTAGAGTAAACACCATAGATTTGTTGTGCACGTTAAGAGTATATGTATTAGGGTCAAATCTATTTAAGATCCACTCGCATAAACCCCTTTTAATGCTGTGGATATTCAAACTAATTAAACCCCCCAATCCCATTTCCACAATGCCTCGCTTTTGTTGATCATTGCATGATTGAATTACTTTAACTAGCAATGAAAGAGAGCAACGGGTACCAAGAAGATGCTGCAAAATGTTTTACAACTTTAAATCAATGAATTAAAAATATTAAAATGGGTGAATGTAATGGCATTAAAGACACTACAATTTAAGCATTAACCTTTCCGGATGCATATTTGGAAGTATCAATTCTTTGGCGCTTATGAAGCTGTGGTTTTTTGTTTGTATTGCTTACCATCTTCGTTGCCCTGTACCACGCATCATCTTCTTGGTAAAAAAAGAATGTTCATAATACATGTTCATAAGATGTAATAGGAAAAAAATTGTCTAAAGTCTAAACCCAATTGCACGCATAAACTTCTTTCATATGCCAAGAACAAATGTTAAATCAAGTACCTTAAAGGATAACAAAAATTCCTCAAAATAGATAGTTTATAAATAAACAAAATAAGAGAAGCACATAACCTTGAAAGCTATGAGAGGAGCTTTCAACAAATGTAGTGGGCCAAACAGCTTCACTCTGTACACAATTTTTGGTATCCAATTTCGTGTGGCTACAAAATTGAACAATCCCAAAAAAAGTTATAAAAACAAAATAACTTCAAACTAAAATCCAATTGATTTGGTACAAACCTCAAATTCAATTGCGAGTTTGAAGAAAACAAAGCAATGTAACATCAAATAAAATCAAATAAGAACTCAAATGGTACTGTTTTAATTTTAATCTCCTCCACCTCAACGATCAAGAATATGCCTTTTATCCCAATTATTTTCATCAATACAACTTTCATTGCAATTAAATTATCATTATTCATCACGTCTACCAAAGTAAACACAAAAAGAATAGCATTTTTTAAGAAATTGAATGCACTCTTAGAAGAAGAGAGCATTAACATAGTACGTAAAAAAAAAGTCGACGAATTAATCAAATTTCAAATTCTTTAGAACTAAGGAGCAAAAATTAGTAATATCATCCATTTTTCAATGGTTGTGCGGTTACAACGGCGACTAGGCAGTTAATTTCATAAAATATGTATAATTAACAGCAATTCCAACAAAATAACCCTAACATTCTATTGTAAAACCCTAAAAATACAATGTTATTTAAAAAAACACCCATTCGAATCAATGTAACCCTAACATTCAATTTTAAAGCTCCAACGGTCAATTGCAAACCCATATTCCAACTCCACAAAAATTAATCATCAAAACTCCATATAATAAAATTAACATAAAATTTGAAAATAATGAAGTCAACATCACAAACTTGGATGTACGTACACCTTTAATAGATATGGTACAACTTTAAAGGTAGGATTACAACTCTTTTGGATGAGGGTACACCTTTAATGGATAGGGGTACAACTCTATTGGAAATGGTACAACGGTTACAACTTTTTTGGATGTGTGTACAACTCTTTTGGATGTGGTACAACTCGTGGTACAATTTTAATGGATGGTTACTACTTTTCTTGGGTTATAACTTTTGTAGATTTGGTTTCAAACTTTTTGGTGGATAACAACTTTCATGGTATGATTACAACTTTTTGGGGGTGGGGGTACAACTTTAATGATGAGATACAACTTTTCTGGGATTCTACCTTTTATGGTAAGACAACAACTATTTTGGATGTTGTACAAGTTTAATGGTGGGTTAATCCTTTTTTCGAGTTATAACTTTCATGGATTTGATTTCAATTTTTTTGGTATGTTACAATTTTGTGGGGTAGATTACAATATTTTTTAGGGTTACAAGTTTTGGGATGAAATACAACTTTTTGGTCTAGTTATCCCTTTTTGGTAACAACTTTTATGGCTCACTATATACGGGTGAAACCGGTTTTAAAGAGCCACATGTAAAACACATAGGCCAACTTACTTTTCGGTATGGTACCAAAAAGCAAGTTGGCGGTAGAGTAGTGTTCTCCTAATCGGGTCGAAGCTATTGGAATCCCTCTGGGTGGCCTTAGAAATTCAAAGTTCGTGGTCATGATATAAGAGTAATAGTACATGATCCAACACACAGTTCCATCGTATTCTTCTTTTAGGTTAATAGTACTTTTGATTCATAAAATATATATTTTTTGTTTGTTCACAGCTCACTACATAATCCAAATCAATCAAAAAACCAAAATTCACAATTTGCAATCATACATAAATTCAAACAAAACATATAACCATCAACATCATATATAATAATAATCACATCAAGCCACTAATCATATCTCCAAAAAGATGTATGTTAAAAGCAAAGAAATTTTCAAAACTCTCTGTAGCACCCAAAATATTGTCTAAAGTCTAAACCCAATTACACGCATAAACTTCTTTCATATGCCAAGAACAAATGTTAAATCAAGTACCTTAAAGAGAAAACACAAAATTCCTCGTAGTTAACATAGTAGCTTCACTCTCTACCCAATTTTTGGTATCCAATTTGGCGTGGCTACAAAATTGAACAATGCCAAATAATTAAACAATCCCAAAAAAAGTAATAAAAACAAAATAACTCCAAACTAAAATCCAATTGAATTGGTATAAACCTCAAATTCAATTGCGAGTTTGAAGAAAACCAAGCAATGTAACATCAAATAAGAACTCAAATCAAAATATATTTATTTTAATCTCCTCCACCTCAATGATCAAGCATATGCCTTTTATCCCAATTATTTTCATGAATACAACTTTCATTGCAAATATTGCCGTGAAATTATCACTATTCATCACGTCTAGCAAAGTAAACACAAAAATAATAGCATTTTATAAGAAATTGAATGCACTCTTAGAAGAAGAGAGCATTAACATAGTACATAAAAAAAAAGAAAAATGAGTCGACAAATTAATCAAATTTCAAATTCTTTAGAACTAAGGAGCAAAAGTTAGTAATATCATCCATTTTTCAATGGTTGTGCGGTTAGGCTACGCAGTTAATTTCATAAATTATGTATAATTTAGACCAATTCCAACAAAGTACCCAATATGAGAAAATTCATAGAAAAGTTACAAAATACCCAAACATATCAAACCAATACAAAACACCTAAAAATATCAAACTAATACAAAACACCAAAAATAGGTGGGTGGGTGAGTGCGATGTATGTGTGGGTGTGTATCTATATGTGCAATGTATCTGTGTGTGTGGGTTTCTGTATGTGCGATATGTGTGTGCTAGTGTGTGTGATTGACTGTCTAAAACTCGTGAGATAGAGAGACGTAGAGGGTGTGGGATTTGTGTGTGTGTCTTCAGTTTCAATGGGATTTTCAGGGTTTTTGGTCTAGTTTTATGGGGGGTTTTGGTGGAGTTTCAGTGGGAGCAAAGATAAAAAGCGAGAGAGAAAGAGAGATGGGAGCCAATTAGAGAAATCATACCTGAGTTGCGGTGGTGGCGATGTGGCGGTGGTGATGACGCTTTGGAGTCTTGAGGGAAAGACAGAGAATGAGAGTGAATGAGATAGGGGAGGGGGAGGGGAAGGGGAGAGAAGTACTTGAGCGTCTATGGGTTGGGTAACGTGTAGGAGAAGCTCAGCGAAAAATAATAAAAAGAAAATACTTTGGAAAAAAAAATTAATAGACGAGCATCTGTTCTTTTTTTTTTTTTAATTTGAAAAATTAGTACATTTCTGCAATATTTCCTAGTTTTATACTCCTTATACTCCTTTGGTATGAATGATGGAAAATAAGAGAAATAAAAAATATGAGAGATATACTTTTTATTAGGCCCACTATTTTATTTTTTTATTTCCTTTACACAAAAAAGTATTTTATTGCATAAGTATAATCGAATTAGATTAATGTGTGATATTATTAACCCTCCAATGTAGAAAAGGTGCCAGAATTAAGTCCATTAAATCGAAAAGATAGAATATATTGAATCGCCAACCTCTAAAACACAAATTTGTCAAAAAAAATTACAATGCAAAAACCTAAGAGTTGACATGATCTCATTGTGATCTCATATTTTTTGGGAATGAAGAATGTAGGAGTTAAATGTCATCCTTTTGAATCACCAAATATTACTTTTCACATTAGTGCATAACAAATAATCCCATTACTTTTCTAAAAATGGGATTATTTATAATACCGCTTGATGTTTATGAAACCAAGCACTCCAAGGCTGGACCATAAAATTTTAATGTCAATTCAGGTAAATTGTTATACAACAAATACGAAAGAGCTAGATTTACATATACAGTGATGCCACATGAAGTTTATACAAACAAAGGAAACGTGGTGAAAAAGGGTGTCTTGATGTGCATCAACAGATAGTTTAACAAACACTTAAATTTTTCCTCCTTGCAATCCAGGTGGTGCCATCATCCCTTTGTCCTTCAAGACCCCATAAATACCAATGCTCATCAAGCATTGCTGACCTTCCTGCCAGCATTCAGACGAGCCCAGTTTGGTACAGCCAGACCTCATTTTAGTGCTTTTACCCTCATTGGGTTGCCCTTGCTCTGTTACATTGTGTGACAATATATCAGCAAACAAAGAAGTCTAGTATATTGGGATTAACATTTAATAATGTCAGATTCAAGGCCTATTGAAGTGATCTTGGCAAGACCAAAACCGTCCCCCAAAGAGGAGCAACAAAGGCCAAGAAACATCCCTAGCCACATGGTAGTGGTTAGAGTCCTTTTGATGTCCTGTGCCATACAAAATGATTACCCTTGAGACAAATTATTAATGGTGATATGGACACAATAGTGTCACCCACACAACAAAAGCCAGCTAACGTGTGTTATTATACATTGAATGAGCTTGTGGAGGAAGACCATATAGCCAATAATGAGAGATTACACAAATTGAAATTCTACTTTTCTTTCTCTTACAAGTCCCAAACTCAAAGACATATTGAATAGTCCACAATTCAAGTGACAGCAAAGGATTTAACAATTTACTTCTTCTAATTTTCCTCAGTTTTCAAAGGAACCAAACAGATTAACTGAGAAAATAACCCGGAAAAAAGGGGATGAACTTGAAGAATACCCTAAAGCCCTAAACCCTAACTATCAAATCAAAGAAGCAAACTTAACTCCACATATTCAAATCAAAACCCACGTATTTGCTCCTCTAATTCCAACATCTTCCTCAATAATCAAACAAATAAACAAGCAATAAATAGAAAAATAAATAAGGCATTGATTATATGAAGAAGAAGAAGAAGAAGAAAGACCCACCTCGCTGTCAGCGACGATGCGGCGACACTCTTTGAGGACGACGGGGGTGAGGAAGACCTCCTTGCAGATTATGGTGTCGTTCTTTTACTCGATTCTAATCACATCTGCCATCAAGAACTCGGTAAGGGTAATCTTCCTTAGATTCAATTCCACCATTGTTGATGATAAATTGAAAAGCATAATCCATAAGACCACCATTGTATCCTTGATTATAAGAATTTTCACATTCCACCAACTCCTGCTCTAATAGGACTGTTAAATCACCTGTTACAATCTGATTTATTCCTTCCACAGCAGTAACCGTTGAGAATGCCCAACAACTCCCTTCATTTGAAATTTATAAATTTCAGTGAAATATAGTCAATCAATAGAAAATGAGGGCAGATGCAATTTCCTTCTAATTCCTAACCATACAATTTTGCAAAACTAAAAGTTGGCAATGGCCAACAATAAAATTGGTAATGTTGCTCAAGCTCAAGCTCCTACTAGTACTTGAACTCGTTCCGAGATGTGAACTTTGTCAGAAACACCAAACCTCATAACATGATAATCTATGCACAAAAAAGTGAGACTCCCATACCAAAAAGAAACCAAAAGAAAAAGCGAAAAGTAAAGGTAACTACAAAAAGTATTATTCAAAAAAATGCAAGAATCTCTAACTACTCCCAAATCCCAATTACTCAAAAAACACAACTTTAAGATACATCAAAATTATTTCCATAGACACCACAGAAAACATATGCTACCAAAACAAATTGCCAAAAAGGTAAAGGTAGAGGCTATCTATGAACCAATTGAACAAAATATGTATGTGTTAAATTACTTCACAATATAAAAAAACAACATTATGTTTTGGAGCTGAATTGGCATTAGAACCAAAAAGGAAAGAAAATCACAGTTCCCCCACGAAGCAGTAGAGCTTGAGCATTCAAATGTTGAAGATGACAAGACCACTTTATTTCATTAACAACTAAACTTTCACATAAATACACATTTCTTTGTTTACAAGCATCTGTCAGCTAAGGAATACATATTTACCTCTGACATCACAGAATGCTCACAAATCTAGATCATAAGGAGAGCCTCACCCTCAAGTGTCATGTAAACCATTGAGAGCTACATGTAATTGCACAATTTAACCCCTAAAAGCATCTTCAAACCTTTACTCAAATCAGCAATGGTTAGATTTTATTCTTCTTTAAAAATCTAATGGTTATATGATGATAGTTGGAGTAAATGATTTCGAAATGATGGTTTCACAGCCAAAGTAAACACAAATATACAACTCATGCAAGAAAATGAGTTGGAACCCATCCCAACAAATTGTAAACCACTCTAGTTGTAACACCAATCCAAAATAGTTGGAACATAATCCATAAAAGTTGGAATCACAACCCAAAAGTAGGAACCAAATACAAAAAAAGTAATAACCCTACCCAAACAACGTAAAAACTCCACCAACAAAGGGTATAACCCACTCATTCAGTCATTTTCAAAAAATATAAATATAAATATATATTATATATATGTATATAACATAAAAGTATGAAAAAACCTCCAACTTCCACAAATTAGTATAGCTTACCACAATGACTGAATTAATTAGTTCTTCATATATGAATGCATTACTGCCTTATATATTGTTGTGTCTTTCTTAATGTTATTGTCGTGTATGACCAATTTTAGGCCTAATTCCCTAATTCCCTTCGCATTTCTGTCATAGGTTCCTACAAGAGCATTTGTAAAACAACATTAACTTCACTCAACCACGCAAAATACAATACTATATTGAAGTTAACAGTAACATTGTAATATCATGTATGCAATAAATTAACACCTTTATAGGGAAATCTGGACCCAACTTTGGCTCTTGGATCATCAATATAACATGCATACCGCAATCATAGCCATTCTTCTGTACGGGCACCCAATTTGGCTGAATAATCGGCCATTCATGCATTTCTTCCACATCGGTGATCACCTCACGTATTAGATGACATAACACCATCACCTATTTAAGGAAACAACTATATTATTTTAATGTGTGAGATGACAGGTACTTCATTACACAAGCCCTAAATAATTTAGGTTGTACAAACGTTACCGTTTTCTTTGTCTGCTAAACTCGTCTCAGATTCCTTTGAGCAGTAGGCAAAGTATCGAGAAACAAGATTTCCTTTTTTGGGACATCTACTATGGTGAGGTACCAATGGGAATTTGCATCATTTATGGGTAAATATATCTACAATGACACGAAAATAATACAATGATAAATGAGAACACACATATATGTACACCATAATTAATGACAAGGACCTATATAAACTAAAATGAGAATGTCAAACCTTATCGTAATTTTTAATGTCACCAATGAAACGGGAAAAAGTTTGTCTAATAACAGAATTTAAGAAATTTTTTTCCTTTATTCTTCCTCGTAATTGTTGCTTGCTGCCAAAACCATTTATTAAGTATATACGATTAACAAACACATATCATGAGTATCACACAACCCAACAATGAGGAGTATGTATACTTTACCAAAACATTGTTGGGAAGTACCATCTGGCATTTTGGTTGGTGCGGTTGATCTTGGTTTCGGGTGACATAACACAGTGAACCATATTTATCACCTGTTAATCAGGACAAAAATAAAATATTGGGTATTGTATACTACTTTGGCAAAATAATTGATGGTAATAATGCATTAAAAAACAATCTAGTACATCATCAGCTATCCACTCCATTCCACATAAGGACTGCATTGACTTCCGAGTCGCCGAAAATATGATGTCTTCAAAATCTACAAGAACCTCTGCATGTATTGAAATGGTATCAATTTGTCAATGCAGCGTACCAATTATGCTGAAAGAATAATGTTTGATAAATAATGGATTCACTTACAATTTTTTTAAGTAATTGTCGAGTATGTACTCCCATATTGACTTCTCGTAGCTTCGGAGGACTCTTGTTATGTGAGGGTACCCCCTCTGGCATATCAGTATCATCTTTATCCTGCAATGGTATGAATATAATTATCTAATATTACCAGTTAAGGCATTTAGTATTCTAATATCCAAATAATTAAAAAAATATATCATGATTCACTTACGTTGTCGTCGCCATCACCGTCATCATCATCAACATTTTTTATATCCAATTCCCCATCACCTCTTTCATTCTTATTCAATTCCTCAACACCTTCTAATTTGTTATCGATGGCGTTGACTCAGTCAGATAAATTCCTTAATAAGTCCTTTATAGTCGAAAGCTCGACATCAACCTTGAGACACAAATCTCGAAAATCTAATTTCATTGTAGTCTGTGTCACCTCTAATCTTCACAATCTTGAGTCAAAATCCTGAACAAAACAAATGAACAATATGTGAACAATGGAACAATTTGTGAACAAATGAACAATCTAAATTGGGTGTTGCATAAAACATATGGTAGCAATGGTAAGGTGTTGAGTAATAAACATACATCTACTTCTACGTTGACGCATGCATCAGTTGATAGCCGATGCTGACATACATCAGTAACCGTCACCTTAATCTACATCGACCATGCAATATACATTTGAAAATAATGTTAGATCTCATTAATATACTAAATAATCCATGATGTGTGTTGTAACGATATGATACAAATGGCTTACCTTGTCATTTTTATATCCACTTAACTCCTTTAGTTGCACAAGGTGCGCACCTATTTTTATGTCATCTCATTCTCCAATACGAGGGCAGGGTCATGATGCCAAATCAACCAGATTCTTCCCCATAGGTGTGACGGGTTCAAAGAAGAAAATCTAGTTAGAAGACAACAAATAATTAATTATGGGTAAGTTAAACCAAAATTAGAAAGAAATAATCAATGAGTATAATACGTCACCATAAGGAGAATAATGCAACCCCTGATACTATTGCGGGGAGCCATCTTGTAGTCACGTACCGCCTGAATCATGTAGTCAAATAC